ATAAAGAAAGCTCAATCTTCAAATGTTTTGATGCAAGATTTTACATTAATATATTGATATAATGAAACTTTCAAGTAGCACAATGTGAAAACACTCTCAATACACTTCTTTTAAGCTTTTGTCAATGGATGACTTGCACTAACAGGTCCCATGACAATACCCCTAAATAAAACGTGCAGTTGTAGCAAAATAAACAACAGAAATTAAAAGGTCTTACCAACCAACACTTTTCACATACAAATCCTTATAATATTTTATACCATTTCTCCTATTGCTGGGTTTCACTTGATGTCATTTCCTGTCTCATGTGAAATGTTCATCAGCTGAATCCCAAGTTTTCAATATAATTCTTTCTGGCTGACAGCACATGGTGGTCAGTGTTTGATCACCATTTGGAGCAGATAATGAGATGCAAGGACTTTAATCAGTTGATTGAAACCTAGCAATAGAATTCTTTCTGGTTGACAGCACATGGTGGTCAGTGTTTGATCACCATTTGGAGCAGATAATGAGATGCAAGGACTTTAATCAGTTGATTGAAACCTAGCAATAGAATTCTTTCTGGTTGACAGCACATGGTGGTCAGTGTTTGATCACCATTTGGAGCAGATAATGAGATTCAAAGGCTTTTGTCAGCTGATTGAAAGCCAGCAATAGACAACATTATGAGCTGAAACTTTGCCCTCTTACTAATTTCATTTCTTTTGTTCATTTTAACACATGCATCTACTTGTTTTAAGAGGGTAGGGTCACTTGACCTGTCATTCATTCATGTGTGCTGTATTTACTAATGTAGCATGTAAAAAGCTGTTATTTCTTAAATAAGGTGACCCTCACTTCCTTCTTATGGCTGTCTGTGATACTCTAAGGTAGTACCGAACAGAAAGATTTCATATATGAATTTATTTTAAAATCTAGTCATTTAAAAATCGTCAGTTGATTATTCAAAAAAGTGGGGGGAAGTGGGGGTCACAGACTTGGTTCTCAAGTTATCAGTGATCGTAATAGGGGATAATTCCAATTTTCTATCCAAAATCACAATACCTGTCTGCATGGACCTGGGTTCTAGTACTTTCTACATTCCCTTGAAACTCCAGAAATTGTCTTTGTAATCTCCAAGGACCATAAAACCTATTATAAATAGACTTTGGAACTAACGAGGTCAAAATAATTTTTAGTTCATTCATGTCTTAAAAGTGATATGTAAAGTATAAAATGTTCATTCTGGGAAATAATAAAAACCTTGAAACCTTTTACGAAGTCATATATTTGTCAATTTTACCACAAAATTTGCATCAAATTACAAAGTCTTTTGTTAGATCATAGAAATTTAGTCAAAATAATTTTCAAAACAACGCTAATAAATGGTAAAAAACGAGATGCACAAAATAGATGCGCAGTAGCAAAGGTCTGGAACTACCTTAAATTATGACATTCTCATACCCAGAGCTCCTTGGCTTTGTTCAAATTAAATCAAAATATTCATATCAAATCAAATTATTCATAAAGAAGATGCTGATAATTGTTGTTTACCAACCTATGTTAATGACTATATAAGTAATAAAGGTTCTATAACATACCCATTTTCTAATATCGTTCTGCAAATGACTTCCAAGACACCTCTATTTGCAGCCTTCTCATCACTGAAGCATTGAAGATTCCAAGACATGACGCGTATCACCTCCCGACCTTTATACTTAAGGCATCCATCAATAGGTACAGGGTTAAGCTTGGAATRAAAACCTCTTTCTTCTTCTGGTATTTCTCCAACTGTTAGCACTTCCTCAAGTTCCTTGACTAGCCTTTTGCTTATTCCTCYGACAGCTGCTAGTTCTTCAACTCGACGAAAATCGCCATTTTCTTCGCGGTATTTTACAATTTTTCGAGCGAGAGAAGGACCTATTCCTTTAAGTTCTTCTAGTTCTTCTTCACTTGCAGTGTTTACGTTCGTTTTCCCTTCGCTTTCTTCACWTTCTTCCTCACTWAATTCTTCTTCAACAGGATTCCAGTCTTCATCTCCTAGGGCTTTTCTTCTCTTCATTCCATGTGCTTTTGTCTGTAGACCTTTCCTCTTTGCAGCAGTCGGTTTGTTCYCATSAGACGTCAACCCTTCGTCTTTCTCCTGACTCCATTGCCTAGTCCATTTTTCTTCCTTCGCCTTTTTCTGTTCTCGTTCAGGGTCCTTGCAAACATGAAGCTCGACCTCCCCCTTCTCGTYAAGCGCTACTTTAAAATTATCTTCAAACTTGACCTGACAATGAGCTCCAGACTTCTCCAAAGTAGCCACAACGTCGCTGAGGCTTTTTAATCTTCCTTTCTCTTTGCCTTCTACTAGTTTTTCAGCTATTTCAGGACGTATTCCAATGTGTTCCAGGTCACTTACAGAAGCTTTACTCAAAGCCATTGCTTTTCTCGTTTCTTKATTCCTCCGTGAACTAAAACACGACTCGTTTGGATTATGAATAATGGGTCCGCTTTTGTGCGTCTCCCTTGAAAACTGTTTGTTCCCCAGTGTAATTAAGGATCCCTCTTCACTCTTGAAAACAATAACTTCAATGCACCACTGGCTACGACACAATGTGACAGAGACGGTTTACACAAGTTAAGAAAAGGAAGGTCTGCTACTAGTTAAGTTAGCCGCTGACCGTTAAAGAACTGTAAAGACCGAGCGGAGACTGGGTATAAGAGACGACGCAATCTCCAGCCCAAAGTTTTCCGTCTTTTACCGAGTTTTCAAAGTGCAAAAACTCACAAAAGAAAGTTCAGTTTCACGTTAAGAAAAAATATAATTAGGGACCGTTCATTATTTATTGAAGAAGACTATGGGTAAGAAAAATGGTGGGACCTTGAAACTGTAGTGGCCTGAAAGGGGGATATTGAAATAATAGCGCAGCGCACTGATTCTAAAAATAGCTTACAAATTCGGACAAACTTTGCATTCTATTTAATTGACCGCTACGAGGATTATACGAACCGATTTTATTATTTTTATCATTTTAAGTTACAATAATAACGCATGCAAACTAGGATCAACTGCGATCGGCTGTGAAAATTATCTGCTGGTAAACTTGTAAGTTTGTTCGTCCGAATTTCGCCTTTGCCTTCGTTTTTATGATGTCACGGTTGCGCTGMGCTATTGTGTTATAAACAGTATAGAAGAGCCTTGAAACGTACCTCGAATCAGGGACCGCAATTCTGATTAGGGATTGGGGGAACCAACATGATTAGGTCATCGACTATCTCTCGTTTTCCCACTGGACTCTGAAGATGACTTCCGCTCAGGTTGTCGACAAGTCGACCTCTCTTGTCTTCCCGGAGTTTTTTAATTCAAGCGACGAAGTCGCGAGAGGTCGACCGTCGTGCGCCCAGTAAAAAAAAAAAAACAAAGCGGGCAGCGGACTTTGCGAAAGTCTAGTCACCACCAACAACAGTCTTTCTCAAGACTACACTCACCTGGACAATCACATTTCCAACAAATATTCTTGTTGCAACCTTGAATGCAGGTGTTTTCAGCCAGATACTGCCAATGAATGATTGGTTTTCCATGAAAATCATTTTCATTTTTTATCGACGAATAGTCAAGTGTAATTCATGTTTTATAGTTTTGTATTATGAGGAAGTTTCTAAATTTAGCCTTACCCCAAAAACTAAATTTGTCGCCAGAAACGTTGCATCATTTCTTTCACGTGGCACATGATTGGCCTCTGGGTGTGTATTTCAAAACGACAATAGGCACTCGAGGTTCTCTTGTGCATTCACGTTGTGTTGTTGATCCACACTCAAAAATGAGATGTCTTCCACTTTTCTTCATATTTTGTTTATGCGTTTTATTAAAACAAGACTTGCACCTTGTGTTGGAACATATACTTCTTGTACTTTTAAACACAATGGCACATCAACCAATTATACCAGGAAATACACTCGCAACTCAATGTGTGCAGCTAAACACTTTATTTTACGATTATACGTTTTGAATAGTAATAGTAATACAGACAAAAGCAATAGTCTTGTAGGCTGCAGAACATTTTAGCTCAAAAAATGTTGACTATCAAAAAATAATGGTTAATATGGTTATACTGCATTCACTGAAAAAATGTTATATAGTGTTTCACTATGATTTTTTTTTTTACAAATGTTAGTTTACTTGTGCAAATCTATGACTAGCAACTGGTAATTATATACATATATAAAATTAGCAAATCTAGCTTCTGAGAGTTCAATTTCTAAGACTTATAACTGAACAAAAGTATCCATTTTTCTGATGGTTTTTTCTTTGTTTGGGTTTTCTTGCCACCACTGATATTTTTCTTTTATGATGAATTTCTTTCACTTACTTCGTCGTGCCAAGTGGTACATGGTCTTGGTATGTAGAGTCTCCCGGCAGGGATGGCTTTCCAAGAGGGTTGGCCAAACTCTATTCCAATGTATGCTAAAGGGTAGCGTGTCGTGTGATTTCGATCCCGAGTAAGTCTATCTTGTTTTTTATTTAGCATCGATTAGTAGTAATTAATACCGGCAATGCTATTATTCTGCCACAATTTTTACATTGTAAGCATCTGTTTCAAAATAGGTGAATGCGAGATAGAAACGGACCTTCTTGTTGAGGTTGGATTCTCCAACGAGGGGAGGCTGGCATAAATCTGCACGAAATGAGATGGTGAGACCAGCAGCTTTAATTCGTCCAACTTTGCCCGTGCTGATAATGATTCCAGTCAGTCTGCGTAGTTGGCTGGCGTTGGTATCTGGAATGGTACGCTGCTTCCTAACCTCTTTCACGCTTTCTCGCTCTAATGTCACAATCTGACCCATTCCTTTTGCTGTTCCAAGGAAAACTACTGGACGGTCTGCGTGCCTCAAGTTAATCCGACTAGTATCACGGACTAACTTTGAAAGATCATCTCGAGCAGACATTCTTTCATCTTCAAATCGCTGATCTCTACCACCCTCTAGTATTCGAATGCACGTAAAAATGTATCGGTAGAGATATGCCAGAGCCGTCTTTCCTTTATTGCACCAGGCTGCTATCTTGCTTTCTGCTGTCTGCAAATCCACTGGAATATGAGGGGCCACTTTTACCCAAAGGCGCATGGTCAGATCAATCTTTTTGTCGTACTTCAATGCTTCCTCGAGAAGTTGTTTCGACTCTTCTGCAATTTCAGATATTGATTTATTTTTCTCTTTGCACTGATCTAGTTTAATGAGAACGATTTGCCGGTTAATAGGCGCTGTGCTTGCTTTGGATGTTTTCTTGAGCTTTTGAAGATGTTTGATAAGACCTGCTTTATCTTCAACTCTATTGGTGCCAGCACGGTACATCCCAAGCTTAAATAGTTCTCGTCGCAAATCGGGATAGAAAATGCTTTCGGAAACAGATTCCAAAATATCAGAAGTTTCACCTGAAACTCCGTCTATGATCAAGCGATGAGCATTAGGCAGCCTTGAGTACTCAAAGACTCCGCCTTCGTAAATATGATTGATATATCTGTAAACATCACACATCATTCTTACTTGGGGGATGTAAAAATCTTCGGGTTTATCGGAAGAAATGCTGACAGCTCTTGTAAAGGATTTGACTCCTTCTTCGGCCAATGAAATGATTTCCATTAGGTCTGCTTCTATGTCTATCAGGTTTTTAACTTGTCTTTTGTAAACTATACCTCTCATCTGAGTTAGCTGGCTACGGACATTCTTCGACTTTCCCGAAGCAAGTAGAATACCTTCATCAGTATATTGGAGAGCTTCCTTGAAGCCTTCGATTCCCTTTTTAACGCTGTAGTAACGACCAAGATGGACCTTGAAGTATGGATTTTTTGGGTGGATACTGATAGCCTTTTTGAAGAGATTCACCACGTCTTCACTCTCTGGTATGTCTTCCACTAGGGACGAAAAGTGCTTCTGCGTTTTCTCATCAGAAATTCTATTTAGAAGAATTTCACTAGTGATCTCTTCTTCCATGCACGAAACGAACTCTAATGCTTTGTCTGCCAAATTACGCTTCCAATTATCGCGATGAATTTTAAATGGTACAGTTAGCAGCTGGCGTAGTATTTCCATTCCTATAGTGAAGTGGCGAGGTCTCCAGCATCCATCTTCTTCAATAAGAAGCTCAATTGACTCTGGACTTAAAATATCTTCAATTGAATGGAGCTGCCTAGGTTTAAGCTTGAAGATGGGAGCAAGCGCACTCAAAGGCAACTCTTTGCGGGCATACTGATAAGCCATGCTGAGGAAGCATAATGCAGTTCTCTGCGCATCATTGAGTCCTTGCAAACTATCACTTACATACGGCTCCAGTCCCTTGAATCGATCTTCGAAGGCCACCAGCCCATAGTAAAAAGGAATTTGCATTTGACGATCAGCATTCCTCAATTTAGCTAGTTCTGAGGTTTTCAGAGGGCACTGCAAAGAGTACACTTCAACAAAGTTTCTCATTTCTTTTTCTGTCAAGTGTTTTGCCAAAATATTTGCTTCCTTCTTCCTTGGTTCTTTATCACTTATTCTGTCGACTTGGTGGCGGTGAACAATGTGCAGGATTAAACAAGATACCTTTTCATTGGAAAGGTTTCCAAACAAGGCTTGTATGTCATTGTCGTCTGATCCAGAAACATCTTTGATATCTGCAAGTATGATAACAGGAAGCGAACAAAATTTCCATATCTCACTGATAGCCAAAAACGTTTCATAATTTATGGTCTTGAGGCAGACACACGGATAGCGAAGGTGGAAGTCATAAAGAAGCTTCCTGGCTGAAGTGGTTCCTCCCGTCCCTCGTTGATGGAAAAGTGTGTAAGAGGCGGCACCTGCATATCCCAATTCTTCCTCGATGCTATTTTTCAAACGCTCCCATGATTCTCTTTCCACTGCATAATTCATTTCTATTCCGTACCACGAGATCTTCCCTCCTCTGTAGAAATGATAAGCATCATCTTTTCCAAATTCAGGGGTGTTCCCAATAGAGGTATAGAGAACTTCTAGCACCGAATCTACCCATCTCATGGAAGAAGGAAGAGTTGCACAAGTAACATCACCAGTGGTACCGTTGACATTAGCTTTTGGAAGCGAAAAATCCGGATCAACTTGATACAGAGGATTGGAAATCGCAGTGCTATATATGGCTTTGCAAAATTGCGAGATGTTAATGTTCTTACACTGCACACCCCACTCATCAGCAATATCCTCAAGCCTGCTGTCAGCAGTATCTGTTGTGGACAGGATTTTAAGTTGGACTGAATTTTTCCAAGAAGGAGACGCTTGCACCAAGGTTAGAATTTTGCAGAGCACCTTGCAAAGATTCTTATTTTCCTCAGTTGGTTTCCAAATGATAAGAATGGTAATAGGATTGGGATACTTCTTCTTCACGAGATTTAAGATTTCTTGAATCCAGTCTAGATTACCGCCAATATTTATCTCCATTTTTGGTAAACCGTGAAGCAGGATCCACGGAATGCCATTTGGCAAGGTCTGGTTTTGGCTTGTTTCCTTTCCTATCTCCTCCTTAAACGGAGGTATCATTCGGCATGCTGGCTTGCCAATGCTTTGAAGTAAAGGTTCACAGCTCTTTAGATATCCATTTGTGGCACTTTCTCGATCAAAATCGAAAACAGCAGCCCAGTGAACAAGTCCCAGATGAGCAGCCTCCTGTAACTGGTGAGGATCTTCTGGTGATAAGAACAAGACACACTTTTGCCGCTTATCGAAGAGATTTAGATCCTTTACCAAATCAAGACACGAAGGCGCTACATGTCTAGTTAGGACACTGATTAGCTGGTCCGCTGGAGATGGAGAGATTTTACCAGAATTAACTATGATAGTCATGAGTTGTTCTGCTACCATGTCCCACGTAAACCTTTCTTTCCATTCCAAGCGAAGCTTATCTGCAACAGCAAACGTTTCTGCAGTTTTCACGGCTACCTTGTCAATTTCTATTGCCCATATATCAGCATCTTCGTCATCATCCTCGCCTCGCTCCTTCAAGCAACAATGGAACTCTTGGAAATGTTTACGGATCGTGAAGGCAAGACCACTGTGTGCACTGATAACAATCGGAATCCCAATTGCCATGGCGTCTAGGGCGGCAACACCAAATGCTTCTACTTTTGCTGGCGACAAAAAGACCGTAGCACCTTGAATATCAAAGTATGCCTCTTGGCAGTTATTTCCTGGTCGTTCAACCAAATCGACTTGTCTTTTGTCGCACTCTTTCAAAATCTTTGAAGGCGTTTTCGTAGTACTGGAATCTGTGTTTCTGACAATGATTGTAGATCTTCGTGGTCGTTCTTCGTCTCGTTTGCTGGAATTATTAACGGCCATAAGCGCTATTCTCAATCCACTTGCGATTGGTGAGCTGAACTTAGCCGGCACAAAACATCGACACTGGGGCGAAGATATGCGGTTCCTCGTAGTTAGGTCTGGAAGTCCTGGGATGATTTCAATGACGTCCCGATTTATCAAGGCACTCCACTTCTCTGTCAATAAAGTACCAACAGCAGCGGTAAAATCTGCAGACATGGCCAACTCCTCTTCATTGCACTGGTCATCTACTACTTCGTCATACTTAACGTATTCCTTTGGAAGGTCGTGAATGACATGAAGCCTTGGGCATGACGACTTCACTGCGTGATGTTCGGCTGCAGGTCCCGTGATTCTTCCATGTCCAATCACAAGATTTGGTAAGAACGGGATAGGTTGCTCACGGTAGAAAAGCTGTGGGTCGTCTTTTTTGATTCCAGATTTTTCAGTGCACTGAATCAATTCTACGTTTCCTCTTCTTGCTTCTTCTTTGTCCAGCTCCGATATCGTAAGAACTAAACAGGCAACTCTATGGCCAGCTCGAGCCAACGCCAAACAGAGCTCTCGATTAATTACTGGTATGCTCTCTCCCCAGCTTTGCCATTTGTTGCAGAGTGACAGTATGCACAACTTTCTGAGAGAAGCGCTAGCTTCAGCTGAAATCAATTTTTAAAATTACGCTTAAATCGTTTTTTCTTTAATAAAGGATAAAGTGTTAAGTTTGAAAACAGGACTAAGTTAATGGGTAAAGAAGCTGTATGTGTGTGTAGGTAAATTCAAAAGTATAATCTCAAAAGAATACAAACCACTGCTATTTTGGTCTCCTGCAGCCGTTTTCACTTTGGTCCAATCGTTGTTTCTTATTTCAGTCTACAAACATTGAAATATGCTGCGTTAGTGTGACGTTGAAAATAGACCATTTAACAGTACTTATGTAAACCTGCTACTAATGTATTTATCGGGTTTGTATCATATATACAACAACAGAGATGAATAACAAAGAAAACAGGTTTTAGGTATAAAATAATCGTTAATAAAATGCTTGATATTGAGAAAAAATATGATTAAATAAAAAAAGAAATAAGATGCTTACCTTTTGCGCCAATTTTTCCTTTTTCGTTGCTGTGTCCATTATAATTTTATCATCTTTTACTGCTTGACTCTCTTTTTTAGCGTCCTCTGTCTTATCTCTTAAAGGTTGACCTTCCGGTTCTTCAGCAGTTTGAGGATGGCCTTTTTGTGTGAAGTTTCCAGGAATTTCTCCTTTTTTCTCTACACCATGTTTCAGTTCAACAGGGACTTCTCGTTTTTCTTTTCCATGATGCCGTTCTTCATCTAAGAATTCCTGGTTTTTTGCTCCTTCAGTAGTTAGTTCTTGATCTTTTGGAACTTCTTGTCCAGTTTTTTCAGGGTTTTTTTGATGCTCTTCGAGGCTGACTTGTTCAACAGTTGCCGAAGGCTCATTGGTTGATCGATCATCTGTGATTCAATGATTAAAAAAATAAGATGTAACGTTTTATAGATAATTCGTGACGCTGTACAAATCAGTGTTCAACCAAAGGTTTTAACAAGAACTTCAAGACAACCCCGAAGGCTAAGATATAACTAGCTAAAACCTAATGTGAGCTGCGTCGGTGTTTCTAATGAAACAGTAATGATAAAAATTATATAAAATTATACACCGTCAAAAGATGAAAAAACTTAGTGACGTTTCGGACGCTAGTCCTTCGTCGGAGTAAGAGAGAAAGAAATGGTAGAAAGGAGTGTWTATATGATAGAATAAGACAAAAGAAACCAATAGGAACAAGGTAGGCAAGGAAACAAAAACAAACAATCAAAAGACAAAAGAAAGGGTTAGGTGAAAGCAAAGCGTTCATTAATCCCGTTGGGACTAAGAGTGCCCAATAGGTGAATAAGCCGCATTTAAAAAGCCCTTGTAAGGCTGCTCAGTTTTAAAATGTTGGTAATTTGTACTTTGACCAAGTTGCATGACATTTCATACCCCATGTGGTAACAAGCATAAGAAGAGATTAAAGAATTCGGAATGGTGGAAATGCAAGCCACCCTGGATCTTAAATGAACCCACCCAATCAAAAAATCCTTTCTTGAATATGAAAATTTTCCCAGGATAGCCCTGCAGCCCTCACACACCCAACACCAAAAAGATTATTTACTTATGACTGATCATTTTTGTGATGAAGCTATAGCATTCACCTTTAGATTTTTACTTCTCTACCCCTTCTTTTAAAAAAAACCGCATGCCATTAATGCAGGATGGATAATTCATGTTACCTTTGTCATTAGACAGGCTTTTGGTAGCCTTCTTTTTCTCTTTTTGTCTCCTTTTCTTCTCTCTTTTCCTTTTCTGAAAAAAAGTAATTTTATTTTTTATTATTATTACTTAATTATTTACGTTTTATCTAGCCAAACATGTGCCCAGAATCCCAAAGTCTGGTCACATGACGATACTTAGATCCCATTTTATAAGGATTATCTTTGAAAACGGTGAAAAGGCCAGGCTACGAAGTCATGTTGAATGTTTTAGATTTGAATATTTTTTATAAAATAATTGGGATACTACGCACGCTATGCTCCTCTCGTGTTCTCCCAACATCCCGCGTGTTTTGATCAGAGTATCAAACACGGAAAACTGTTTTTGATCTGTTAGCCAATCGTTTAATATAGAGTAAAAGCCATGCTTAACGTTGTTCTAATTCATCTCAGCTATGATCTTGCTCATTTTTGGGTCAAGCCGACCAAGCACGCTTGTTTTTTAATCTTTTATAGAATATGACGTCATAAAATACGTAGGCGTGATGACATCATCCCACATATCAGAAAAATATCCTGGCATTTATTTTACAAAAGGACAACATTGACGATGTGATGGCCATCTTGAATCTCAAGGCATTATGGGTTAGTAGTATTATTAAAGTTTCAGAGTGACGCCATTCTTGTACCCAGACCTTTCTCAGTTTGCAAACAAAAATTTGGATTTTTCAGATAAGAAGGGTCTGGTTATGAAAATGAGTACTTGAAACACCATTTATAAAAATCAAAGCAAATACCTGCACTTCATTTTAAATCAATATTAAAATTTCAGTTTTAATTACCTTGGCTGCATCTTCATCTGTTACATCCTTTTTTTGTACCTAATTCGTAGAACAAAAAAAAAAAAAGAAACCAATTATATAGACAAAATAATTATTTTCTTTTATGGAGGTGAACTTGAAATGAAAATATTTGTAATAATTTAATTAATTAATTTGGAACAACTACACAGGATTCTGAATGTCAACATTAATAATTTAATCAAATTTACATAATAGAGTTAAGGAAATTAACTGGTAAAATAAAATATACTAGTCAATGTCTAAATTATAGTCAAATAGACACAAAAGCAGAAAACAATTGAATTAGGGTCTACTAATGTGTATTCGTTAGTCTAACATCTATTTCACAGGTTTAGTGATTTCACTCTAATGACCACTACTATGCATAAAAACATCTAATAAGGTTATTCTAAACACACTAAGTGAATCAAGATCTGAAAATTATTTTGATAACCTCTTTTGCTTTAGTGTTTGACTCCTCCCTGTTGTCCTCCTTGTCCTTGTTGTCCTCCTTGTTGTCCTCCTTGTCCTTGTTGTCCTCCTTGTTGTCCTCCTTGTTGTCCTCCTTGTTGTCCTCCTTGTCCTTGTTGTCCTCCTTATTTATGCTACTGTCTGACAGTACACAAAACGAATAATAATTGTTAATGTTTTTAGTTGCTTACATCATATAGCAATCATCTTAGCAATATTTTTAACGATCACCTTATGCTTCTAACTTTCTAAAACTTTGGACACAATAAATCATTTATTCCAAAGATTTTTGTAAAACTTGAGGTAGTTTCAGATTTCATCTACATTTTCTTTTGGTATATATCCTGTTCTTAGTTTAAAAAAATAACAAGGAAGGAGTATAAAATGTATATCAAAATTTCAAAAATAAAATTAACTAGCTTACAACTAATCTAATGGAGATAAAAAATGTGCTAACTTCATAGAGTAGATGTATGGCTTCCACCGGCCCGTTGCCAATTTTTTGTCCAGATTAAATATATCAGAGGCCATTACAATATAAAATATAAGGCTACTGTCAAAATTTAGAAAATTAAAAAATATGGTAATTACTGCCCACCATCCGGAATAAAATACATACTCATCATTTCTATACTCAGATACTAGAAATATCTAATTGCAAACATAAATTAAAATATTGAAAAAAAATTTTTGTGCGATCGAAATATGTTCAAGCTTTATTTTATAAAGTTTAAAAATATTTTCATAAATACAAAATTTTACACTTGTTTGCAGTCTCACTTAGCCATCGAGCCCACTGATGGCAAAGAAAGGTTTTCTAGTGAAATGTCAAGCAATAAGAACGATAAGACCTTATTCTAAGCTTACTTTCACGAGCTTGAAATTGACTCTGATCGAGATTGTTGGTTTCACTTAAATTTGTACCTTGCTTCGCATCATCATTCGTAGACTGGAAATTTTTTAACATTGAGACAAGATCACCTCTTTTTACAGTTTCAAGTAGATATTCCAGCCAGTCCAAGTTATTTTCACCAAGTCGGTCCGCATTCTGTAGCCCACGAAAAAACGTAAGAATCTCCCTTTTAAGTACAGATTCTGGTTTAATGTCTGGAAGGAACTCGTCAGACAAAAATTTCATCTCCTCCAATTCCTCGCGTGTTATTTCTCGCGCAATGTTGAGCAAAAGCTCTTTGTACCGTGAAGCCATCTTCTCAGTAATGTTATTTTACTGCTACGTACTACATTTTTTTAAGATATGGAGTTTTTTCCGCAAAGAAAAGACAACCAAAGCTATGCCATGGTTGGACACGGCTGACATCTTGCATAGATTCGAATTCTGAGAACTGCTGGTATAGGGGAACCCCCAATTTCGTACGAGATCAGTGGGGAACCCCCTTTCCCGCGCTTTTTAACGAGCAAGCGCATAGGAAAAAAGTCCCTATAGTAGAGTGCATTCAGTCAAACTGTTGAATAGTTGACGTCACCTAGTCTATATACGAGTTCCTTTGATAAAAAGTGAATTGATTTCATCATATTTAGGTTATTGATTAGCTGTATAGGCAGTACATAGAATGCATTCAGTCAAACTGTTGAATAGTTAGATAAATCTAACTTAGATAACTATTTAGTGGGAGTGACGTCACCTAAAATAGTAAAAGCGCGCCAAATAACAGTCATGCTAATCCGGGGGTTTGTTTCACCAGAGAATGAGTGAATAGATATTCATTTGTATCATCGTTTCCCCCCTTGATCTCAGTAGCAGTTTCAAATTTATGTGAGGTCAGCTAAAATAGTAACTAACTTATTTAACTTAAGTGACGTCAACTATTCAACAGTTTGACTGAATGCACTCTACTAGGGATCGGTCATTATTTATGATGGGGGGGGGGGGGGGGATTTCTCCTGGATAGTATAGAAAATAGAAATTACCCATAGCCTAAATCCTGCAAGTTACAAGTTAGCCCACCCCCTTTTAGTATGCATAAAAAATATGACCCCCTTTCCCAAATTTAGTCCCACCGATGTTTATGTAATAGATAAAGTATAATCTGGAGACTTTTAAATTGGCGACCTGTTAACTTACAGTATCATAAGCCAATGTTTATTATTAGTCAAATATCTAGGATAATGCTGGTATTTTTGATTGTAAATTTTAAAATCAAATTTGATTTGAACTAGGAAATAGTTTTGTTTTCCCAAGAGTCTCGATGTTTCAAAATCTTTCTTTTGTTAAAAAAGTTAGAAAATAAAGTTGGTTTTATCAACCAAGATAGCCCTACAAAACATGACACCTTAATAAGTTCCACTTGTACTTTTTTTTGACTGTTTCACAGGCTTAGTCGTACATTTCGTGTACACGGTTACAGTTTCAAGTTTACAGTGGGCTTCAGTTGCATCTGGTAGCATGGCAATAATCGTGTTTATTGGGTACGCAGTAAATAATCATCTCCGCTTTTTGCCAGTGGTTAAAACATGTTGGTTTTCCTCCCTCCATAAAAATCAACATGTGAGTTGAGTGTGTTGTGTGTTGTAAATATAGAATGTAGTTCTAGTATGTGTGGAGCGAACCTCACGAGCTCTCACGGAAGAGCCAACGCAGAGTGATAGTTGTAAAATATAAGATTATAAGTTTATAAGTTTGTGTAAACTTAAGGCATGCACTAAGTAGCAAATTTCACACAGTTCAGTTCACGTTTACTCGGCGACGATTTTCACGTTATATGCATCTGCTTCAAAGTAAGTAAAGGCAAGAAAGAAGCTGACTTTCTTAGCTTGGTAAGACTCCCCAATAAGCGGAGGCTGGCATAAATCTGCACGAAATGAGACAGTAAGACCATCGGCTTTTATTTGTGCAACCTTGCCAGTCTTCGTGATGATACCGGTAAACCTTCGCAGTCGTCTCGTTAAGCTTTCGGGAATCAAACGTTGCTTTCTGACATTTGTCACGCTTTCTTCTGCTGTGACAAGCTGACCCATGCCTTTGGCAGTTCCAAGGAACACTACTGGACGATCGGGATGAAGCAAGGTAAGACGTTTGGTCGAGTGAACAGATTTGTGAAGGTCATCCCGAGCAATCTTTCTGTCGTCCTCAAACCGCTGGTCCCTACCACCCTCAAGAATACGTATGCAAGTAAAAATGTAGCGGTAAAGATAAGACATTGCAGACTTCCCTTGGTTGCACCAGGCTGCCATCTTGCTCTCTGCTGCTTGTAGATCCACTGGAATGTGAGGGGCCACTTTTACCCAAAGGCGCATGGTAAGATCAATCTTTTTGTCATACTTCAATGCTTCCTCAAGAAGATGGTTTAATTCTTCTGCAACTTCAGAAATTGGTTTATTATTTTCCTTACAAAGTTCCAGCTGGAGGAGAACAATCTGTCGATTTATTGAAGCTGTACTCGTTCTTGACGTTTTCTTCATCTCCTTGAAGTGTTGGATCAGATCTGCTTTATCGACCGATTTATTTCGTCGACCAAATCCACCAAGTCTGAACAAATCTCGACGCAAATCGGGATAGTAGATGCTCTCAGACACTGATTCCAGAATATCTGAAGATTCTGAAATTCCATCGAGGATAAAAGGATCGGCATCATTTGAATGCAGATACTTGAATATTCCACCTTTGAAGTCTTTATCGATGTGCCTGAATATGTCACACATCATCCTTACTTGGGGAATGTAGCAGTTCTCAAGTCTATCGGGGGAAATACTAGCAGCACGCGTGAAAGCCGCCACTCCTTCTTTGGCAAAAGAAACGATATCAGCAAGGTTTGCGCTTTTTTCGATTTGGCTTTTAACCTGCCGTTTGAATATCATGCCTTTCATCTGCGTTAGCTGGCTACGAATATTTCTAGACATCCCTGTAGCAAGTAGAATGCTATCATCAGTATACTTGAGTGCTAAATCGAATCCCTCATGACCTCTCCGCACGCTGTAATAGCGGCCCAAATGAGCTTTGAAGAAAGGATTGCTGGGATGGACAGTGATGGCCTTTTTGAAGACTTTGACTACATCCTCATCCTCGGGTATGTCTTCCACTAGGGACGAAAACCGTTTATAGGTTTTTTCATCAGAAATGCGATTCAAAAGTACAGCCTTTGAAGTTTCTTCTTCCGTATAAGAGATGAATTCCATCGTTTTATCTGCCAAATTCCGCTGCCAATTTTCAGGATGAATGTTGTAGGGTTTTGTCAGAAGCTGGCGCAGAATTTCCTTTCCAATAGTACAATGACGGGGTCTCCAGCATCCATACTCTTCAATAAGAAGCTCGATCGATTCTGGGGATAAAACATCTTCCATGGAATGAAGTTGCCGAGTCTTGAGGTTGAAGACGCCTGCAAATGTGCTCAAATTTAACTCCAGTTGTCCATACTGATGAGCCATACTGAGGAAGCACAATGCTCTTCTCTGACGTTCATTGAGTCCTCGCAAGCAGTCACTGACGAATGGCTCAAGTCCTTTGAACTGTTCACCAAATGCAACCAGACCATAGTAAAAAGGGATTTGAAGCTGCTCATCGGCATGTTTCATTGCTCCTAGTTCGGACTTTTTTGTCGGGCTTTGCAAACTGTAAACCTTTATAAAGTTCTTTTTCTCTTTATCTGTCAGAGATTTTGCTAAGATTATATCCTTCGGATTTGGCTCTTTTTCTCTCTTTGGCTCTACTTGGTAGTGACGGTGCACGATATGCAGAATAAGACAAGAAACTTTCTCATTTGAAAGGTTTCCATACAACGCCTCAACGTCATTGTCTTCGGCCCCTGGGAACTCTTTAATATCTGCAAGTATGATGACAGGAAGAGAACAAAACTCCCAGATCACTTTGATTGCCAAGAACGTCTCGTAATTTATTGTCTTGAGGCAGACACATGGATAGCAAAGGTGGAAGTCATAAAGAAGCTTCCTTGCTGAGGTTGTTCCTCCAGTTCCTCGCTGATGGAAAAGTGTGAGAAAGGTGGCACCACGATACTCCATTTCTTCCTCGACGACTTTTTGCAGAGGCTTCCAGGACTCTCTTTCAACAGCGTAGTCCATCTCTATACCATACCATGAGATTTTTCCACCTCGATAGAAATAGTGTGCATCAACTTTACCAAATTCCGGAGTTTTTCCAATGGAGGTATAGAGGACTTCAAGTACTGAATCTACCCATCTCATGGATGAAGGAAGAGTTGCTGGTGCAATATCGCATTGCATACCATTAACATTGCGTTTTGGAAGCGAAAAATCTGGATCGAGTTTGTACAGAGGGTTAGCAGTGGCTGTGCTATATAGGGCATTACAAAAATGGTTGATATTAATTGCCTTTATCTTCACGCCCCATTCTTCCGCAATGTCATCGAGTCTGCTGTCAACTTCATCTGACGTCGAAAGAAGTACTAGCTGTACTGCATTCTTCCAATAAGGAGAAGCTTGGACTTGTAGTTGAATCTGATAGAGCTTTTTGCAAAGATGCTTGTTGTCATTTGTACTATTCCATATGATAAGAAGTGTGATGTTGGTCGAGTGTCTCTTCCTCAAGTGATGAAATATTTCTTGAATCCAATCCAAGTTACGATCGACATCCCTTTCCATGTCTGGAACACCTTGAAGCAGGATCCAAGGAATGCCGTTTGGCAGAGTAAAGTTCTGATTTTCCTTTCCTATGTCTTCTTTTGGAGGAGGTAGCATTCGACAAGCTGGTTTGCCAGTGTTTTCCAAAAAACTTTCACAACTTTTGAGATAGCCTTTTGTAGTACTCTCACTGTCAAAGTCGAACACTGCAGCCCACTGAACAAGTCCCAGATGAACAGCATTCTGTAAGAATTGAGGATCTTCTGGCGACAGGAACAAGACAAATTTTTGCCGTCTATCGAATATATTGAGCCCTTTGACCAAGTTTAAACAAGCTTCTGGTACTTCTCTTTCCATCATAGTGGAATTTGGAAGTGATCTTGGAGATCGTAATGAAAGTTTGCCGGATTCAGTAATGGGATGCATAAGTTCCTGGACTGCTGAATCCCAGGTAAACTTCTTTTTCCATTCTGAACGGAGGTCACCTGCTAGATCAAAAGCTTCTTCTCGGTACAAAGATATCTTATCAATCGATATCGCCCATACATGGGCATCGTCATCCTCTTCACCTTCAGCATTTGCTCCGTCACGATCAAGGAATACATCTTTGATACAGGAGTGGAACTTTTCATCAAAGTACTGACGAATCGTGTAAGCAAGTCCACTGTGTGCGCTAATTATAACTGGAATTCCGATCGCAATTGCATCTAAAGCAGTCACTCCAAACGCCTCCACTCTTGCAGGTGACAGATACACCGTAGCTCCCTGAATGTCAAAGTGGACCTCTTGACTACTAATGCTGGACCTTTCGTTTAGATCAACCAAACTTTTATTAACATCTTTCAGAACTTTCTTCGCAGGCTTCACTGATCCATTTGAATCTGTGTTGCAAGCAATTAGAGTGGTTTTTCGCGGTGAACTTTCACGTTTACTAGAACAGTCGACAGTCTTGATGGCAAGCCTTAGTCCACTTGCGAATGGAGCGGAAAACTTGGCGGGTACAAAACAACGACACTGAGGAGAAGGAATACGATTTCTTGTTGTTAGTTCTGGAAGACCCGGAATCAATTCAATCACATTCCGATTTATTACTGTGCTCCATTTTTCCTTCAGAAGGCTACCAATTACTGCCACAAAATCTGCATTCTTGGCAAGTTGTTCTTCGTTACACTGCTGTTCGGTAAGACTATCAAACTTTAAACATTCAGCAGGAAGGTCGTGGATGACATGGAGTCTTGGGCACGATGCGTTATCAGCATGAAACACTGAAGCTGGTCCTGTAAGTTTTCCATGTCCAATCACCAGATCAGGATGGCAATTAATCTGCTGGCCATACAACAGCTGTGGATCGTCTCTCTTGATCCCTGGCTTATCAGAACACTGAATCAATTCCACGTTTCCCTTTCTAGCATCTTCCTTGTCGAAATCCGTAGAGGTAAGAACTAAACACGTCACGCGGTGTCCAGCACGAGCTAAGGCCAGGCAAAGTTCGCGATTAATTACTGGTATGCTTTCTCCCCAATTCTGCCATCGGTTGCATAATGACAAAATATCTCTTGGCTTAAAAGTAGTTGCTCCTGAAAAGTTACAATCACAACAGGATGTTAACTTAGATAACTTAACTTAAATGTTAACTTAGGGTTTTGGGGGTTGCAACCCCCCTCCCCTATGAGAGCCATCGTGATTTATTATATATTATTACTTTTTTTTGACAACACCAACAGCATCGCAAGTTTTATTAAAACAGGGGTGCCGAACACATTTCGCTCGCTTTTTTTTCTATACGCCGTGTGTGGGACCTGAAACAACCATGCTCGCCTGCAGCAAATAATTTCATTGAATAAATATTCCATCGTTTGTTTCTATTTTACGTAACGTAACAACAACACGTAAATAGTTCACGTTAGTCATGTATGTAGTCTTAGTGTTAAATCTATAGTAGTAGAGATTTCTCTTTTCATTGCGCATTCAACGCACTGATTCAAACAAAAGACGCGACAGGGTAATCCGGCAATAGACTTCACATGAGCCAAACCTAATTGAAACAATGGATAACAAGGCGGTCATCATTAGGTTCGGCTCATATGAAGTTCGACGTTTGACAAAAGCCTAACATCAATCAAATGCCATTTTATAGTCTGAGACTCATGAGTACATGATTTTTAATACGTTAGCTTAAATATTGAAACTAAAATTGTAAAATATATGTTTATAATTTATGGCTATTGAATAAAAAATTGCCCACGCCGTTGTAAAGGTATAAAAATATTCCTAAAATTCCTAAAAAACAAATATTTGGATCATTGACATTATTAGTTGAGACAACCGTTATGTTACTCCTTACGAGACTTGAAAGATTGGAGTGAATGAAGCCTTTTGAAGGCGCTTTTTAGAATGTGGTACGATAGTTTGGTGTGTTTATGATAGAAAAATATTAAGTTAAAAACTAAGATGTATCAATGGTGTTTTAGAGCTATTTCAAAAAGGTTGGTGAACGCTTTGTTACATGTTTCATACCAAGATTACAATGTATGATATTCATATGTAAATATTGTCAGCACAGAAGAAAATATGCCGGGAAAAGGTGCAGAAAAAGTCCTGAAAATGTTTTCATATCGTTGTGTTCTTTTGCTGGTTGCATTCAAATTACCCATAGTGCATTTCAGGCTTGGTATGCAACATCAACAAGACCTTAACCGACGTTTTTTTGAAATATCTGTATAGATGGCTTGAACCATCATATGATGGCAGCCATGACAGGATCCAGCAACCACTGAATTTAATCTGGTCTAATACGATTTACATGAGAAAGAATTCAGTTTCCCAGAGGAAATGACTATTGTCGTGCCTCCTTTCATGACTGCCATCACGTGATGGTGCATGTACCATGGCTATCATTGGGCGGCCATGTTTCAATCCCTTCCCATCTAGATTTCTGACTTGGTGTTGATGATGATGTCTATGACATCTGCATCATCAGCACTCTTATCCACATCACGATCACAGTAAAACTCTGCCCACACGGGACAGTGGTCTGATACCACTCCATTCATCCTCCAACCATCTGGAATAAATGGGTGTGACATACCGTCACGAAAAACACCTGCAGAAAAAAACATAATCAATACTCATCTGCTGAATAGTTCCCTCATAGTTCCCTGCGTCGTCTTGAAAGGTAATTATGCTGGGGCATTGAAGAAGGACCTAGGTGACCTTGGAATGATAAAGACCTTTTTTAACACCTTGGACAATTATTCATGTCTCTATCATTACAAGGTCACTTCTATTCTCGCTTTGATGCAAAGTTACCTTTCAAAATGTTGCAGGGAACTGTGTTTTAGAAATGGATCATGTAATAACTTTCTCTGTCTCTGCTCAGGAGGAAGGGGTAGCGGGATGGGGTAGGGAGAGTTTAGAAAAGTATGAAAAGCTCAGAGAAGAAATCTAGTACTAATTATTCTTTGTAAAACTATTGTATTAAATGAAATTCCTTGGAAGAATTTAAGTAAACACCTTCAAACTGTATTACAGATGGATATTTAGCTCCCATCAAAATAACCATATGAACCCTTACCCTAACCCTGAGTTAATGAGTCTGTGACCAAGGAACACAGCAATCATTTCGACACGACCCTGATTTTACGAGGCTAACCCTGAGTGAATGAGTCTG